AAACACCTAATAGCCCTTCACCCCTCTCCTTGGTCTCCTCCAGACCCTCTCTCCTCTCATAATCCCCTTGCAACCCCTCCTCAAAGAACTAGGAGCCCCCCAAAAGCACCTAATAGCCCTCATCCCTCTCCCTGGCCTCCTCCAGACCCTCTCTCCTCTCGTAATCCCCTTGCAAAGGCTCCCCAAAGAACTGCTAGCCCCTCACCCCTCTCCCTAGCCTCCTCCAGACCCTCTCTCCTCTCATAATTCCCCCTCCCCAAGAACTAGGAGCCCCCCCCGAAACACCTAGTAGCCCTTCACCCCTCTCCCTAGCCTCCTCGCCTCTTATAATCCCCTGGCAAACCCTCCTCAAAGAACTAGGAGCCTCCCAAAAGCACCTAGTAGCCCTCATCCCTCACCCTAGCCTCCTCCAGACCCTCTCTCCTCTCATAATCCCCTCACAAACCCTCCCCAAACAACCAGAAGCCTCCTAAACCCTCCCCAAACAACCAGAAGCCTCCTCAAAGAACTGCTAGCCCCTCACCCCTCTCCCTAGCCTCCTCCAGACCCTCTCTCCTCTCATAATCCCCTCACAAACCCTCCCCAAACAACCAGAAGCCTCCTCAAAGAACTGCTAGCCCCTCACCCCTCTCCCTAGCCTCCTCCAGACCCTCTCTCCTCTCATAATCCCCTCACAAACCCTCCCCAAACAACCAGAAGCCTCCTCAAAGAACTGCTAGCCCCTCACCCCTCTCCCTAGCCTCCTCCAGACCCTCTCTCCTCTCATAATCCCCTCACAAACCCTCCCCAAACAACCAGAAGCCTCCTCAAAGAACTGCTAGCCCCTCACCCCTCTCCCTAGCCTCCTCCAGACCCTCTCTCCTCTCATAATCCCCTCACAAACCCTCCCCAAACAACCAGAAGCCTCCTCAAAGAACTGCTAGCCCCTCACCCCTCTCCCTAGCCTCCTCCAGACCCTCTCTCCTCTCATAATCCCCTCACAAACCCTCCCCAAACAACCAGAAGCCTCCTCAAAGAACTGCTAGCCCCTCACCCCTCTCCCTAGCCTCCTCCAGACCCTCTCTCCTCTCATAATCCCCTCACAAACCCTCCCCAAACAACCAGAAGCCTCCTCAAAGAACTGCTAGCCCCTCACCCCTCTCCCTAGCCTCCTCCAGACCCTCTCTCCTCTCATAATCCCCTCACAAACCCTCCCCAAACAACCAGAAGCCTCCTCAAAGAACTGCTAGCCCCTCACCCCTCTCCCTAGCCTCCTCCAGACCCTCTCTCCTCTCATAATCCCCTCACAAACCCTCCCCAAACAACCAGAAGCCTCCTCAAAGAACTGCTAGCCCCTCACCCCTCTCCCTAGCCTCCTCCAGACCCTCTCTCCTCTCATAATCCCCTCACAAACCCTCCCCAAACAACCAGAAGCCTCCTCAAAGAACTGCTAGCCCCTCACCCCTCTCCCTAGCCTCCTCCAGACCCTCTCTCCTCTCATAATCCCCTCACAAACCCTCCCCAAACAACCAGAAGCCTCCTCAAAGAACTGCTAGCCCCTCACCCCTCTCCCTAGCCTCCTCCAGACCCTCTCTCCTCTCATAATCCCCTCACAAACCCTCCCCAAACAACCAGAAGCCTCCTCAAAGAACTGCTAGCCCCTCACCCCTCTCCCTAGCCTCCTCCAGACCCTCTCTCCTCTCATAATCCCCTCACAAACCCTCCCCAAACAACCAGAAGCCTCCTCAAAGAACTGCTAGCCCCTCACCCCTCTCCCTAGCCTCCTCCAGACCCTCTCTCCTCTCATAATCCCCTCACAAACCCTCCCCAAACAACCAGAAGCCTCCTCAAAGAACTGCTAGCCCCTCACCCCTCTCCCTAGCCTCCTCCAGACCCTCTCTCCTCTCATAATCCCCTCACAAACCCTCCCCAAACAACCGCGCCCCCCCCCCGCCTCAGTGGAAGGCGCCGGAGGCTGCCGAAGGTGAACGGGAGATGGCGGAAAGACCCGAAAAGTGCCGAAGAGGTGAGGGGATGGACGAGTCCACTTTAGCCGGAAAGGGCGGGGGGGGAGCTGTGCCACTGAGCCCGCAAGGGGAGGTCCCCCACTCCGAGCACACGCCTTGAGGGCGGACCAGGGGAGAAGAAGGCGCTTGAGATGGTTCTCCCGTGGGGGAGCTGGCGTGGGGCCGCGGGGGTGCTCGATGCCTTAGGGTGGATCATCCCGCCAACCCTCCCCCC